TCCATCTTTAAACTCTCCTTTCTGCTAGAAAATTAATCCAGATGTTTTCATTAATGTCTGTGGTGAAGCAACGGAAAACCATGGCCATATGGTTTCCTGGTTGTAAAAGCTGATTAATTATGTTGTTGTTTTCATATTCTGCCAAATTAATGTAAATGTTTGATGTTAAACTTTGATTCTGTAAAATAAATGACCGCATTCATTTTGATGGGTCAAAGAAAAATGACGTCTCACGTTACATTTCATTAAATTCAATGCACGTTTTATCCAGTCCAGAAAGATGAGTGAACCTGTTTTAATTGATGAATATAACAGCATCTGTTCATCTACACTAGTTTTATATAAAAAATACAAATTAACTTTTTTAATTGCTGTATCTTGTAACATTTAATTTGAAAAAAATGAAACTGCAGTACTTTTAAATACATGGCAATATTGTCTTCATAAGGTGTAAATACACAATGCTTAATATTATTTTTAATTTATTAATTTTTCTTGATGTGTAATTTGAACGCATCATGATTTCTTATTTACCTCAGCCTGATCATATTTTAACAAACCGTCCCTGAACGCTTCATATGCAACACGAAGATCAACTTCTTCCGTTTCCAGCCTGTTATAAACAATAACTAGCGGGATTTAGTCATAAATTTGGATGATCAGAAAACTACTCTGACTGGACTGCAGTGAGTGTTTCTACCTCTTCTGCTCTCATCCACATTTCATCTAAGGTAAGTAATTACAAAGTCTCTTAATGCATCCTGTGTTCAGATAACTACCTTCACATTATTTGCCATGAGTAATGTAATTAAGGCATAACATAACTCATTGGTTTGTTGTCACTGAAAGAAGCAAACTGTACTTGATGTGCTATGAGCAGCCAGCTGATCTCAATAAATTACTTACTGTTCCGACGACGATGCTGGAGCCATTGTTAGCTGACGTTACTGCAGAATGCGCTGCAGCCCCGGGTAGAGTTGTGCTTGTTTGTTCGTTCTTGGCTGTTCTTTCATTTACTCCATCAAAAGTTGATTCGTCCTCGTCTGCCTCAATGTTGAGAAGATGGTGTGTGTGCGTCCGCTTTACGTGATAGTAAAAGGAGTTATACACTCTGTACTCACTTGGACAGCCATCAATCCCACACACCACACGAAAGTCAGGACTCCGACTATGCATGACGTTAATGTGACTCAAAAGTTGTCTCAAAGACAACGCCACAAATACGTAGCAAATAAAACAGCGCCAAATCATGTTGGATCAGAGATTTTCGTTGGTCAAAGGATCAGAAAAGGTGCTGTCGTACTACTGTGTTGATTGTCGCAAAAAAGCCGTTACTATGGTGACACCCGCCCACCAGCAAAATTACCGTAAATCTCAAGTACGATAAAATTATTTGTAAAGAGTTTCTGTCTTTGTAATGCGCATTACACATTCCTATCGATGTTTAATCGTGTTTTTATTGCTCAACGTTGCAGCTGACGCGAAATAAAAGAAGAAGCTGGGCGAGCAAGCTAGCTAGGAATTAGCTAACAGCAGGGATGAGCTAGATGATGCGGTTGTGTCGACGTTAAGAGGTAACGTATTTATACAAAGTTGTTTATAATGTAGACTGAGACATGGAAAAAAGTTGTTGTAATGATCATACCAATATTACATAAAAGTTTTTACGTCTTTAGTGGCGTGTGTGTGTGTGAGAGCAAGCGGTAGAGATTTTAATGCTGCTGTAGGGGAGTGCTATGTTGCTAATGCTAACTGGACATTGGCCTGCACTGCACATTCTCCACCGGCGCCAAAAGAAAAAAACTGAATTCCGCTACATTTGGCTATAAATTATTAAAAATATTGCAATAATACAATGGAGAGAACACTACTCTTTTATGAGTTGCTGTTGCTGTGAACATTAATACATATCTCAGTTAATACCAACAATACCACTTTATATTTGTATTAAAACTGAATAACAATACAATTTAAAAATCAATAATACATGTAATTGTTATTGCTGGTTTGTCTCTAAATGCATGTCTCCCATCCATTCGTACAGCTACTTTGAGACAGCAACAAAAATGTGTTCAGTTAGCTGCAGATGTTAATTTAAATTAGATTGAACTATGAAATTTCAGATATCAAAGAAACTTCTAAATTTTCAAAATTTATAAACTAAACAATTTTACTGGTTTAAAACAATATTAATGTTAAAAAATGCTTTGTTGTGGCTAGTACAATTAAGAAAAAGCTAGTACTGTGTGCAATGTGTGCTGAATGCATAGTTTAATGGTATTAAGGTTTCTTTATTGTATCTGGTTTGTTAGCAATTTTACTTTAAACAGTCTCAGACCTCCATCTAAAGGCCCTTTGCTACAGCTTCTTCTCAAACTATGTAGCTTAACAACTGAAAAACCAAGTTTATGTTTAGTCTTTTCTTCTTAATCTGGATGTGTCAAGTTTCATCTTTGTTTTCAAACACATTCTCAGCTGCAAACATCAGTGAGGCAATGATGGGCAACCTGTCTCGTGAAGACTTGCGGGACCTTTTCCCAGGACCAGAGAACTTTTTAAGAAGAAAAGCGATCTGGATTGCTTGTCATGGTGCATCAGAGGAGGTCAGTTTCTCTGTGACATAGACTTAAAAAACAACCTATTTCAGTTGGCTGTGGCACTTTGGGTTGATGTAGTATATTGCCAAAACTATGCACTGCAAATGTTTTTGTATATCAGTAACAAGTCAGTTACAGTGCTTTACATGAACAAATCATAAGAAAAAAAAATATTGGAAAAAAGTCAATTGCAGTGGTGTAATAACAGAAGGTAAAGAAACATTGGACTATAACTACAGTTAATGATGTTTTTGTTTTCCGTTTAAATAGAACAGTGAAAGACAAATCTAAGAAACTTTTTTTTTTTTGTCTGAATAAAAAAAAATCATCATTTCGGCATTTAAAGTTCTTTTGGAGTTTGTTCCAGATTAGTGGAGCGCAAGAACTTAATGATGCTTCTTAATGTTTGGTTCTGACTCTGGGGATACAAAATAGTTCCAAGTGGGTCACACCACCATATCAGTAAATTTGGATGTGTTACAATCACTTCCTTGGGTGCAGGTATCTAAAATTTGGTGAGACAAACCTGACTGACCTGCACACAGTCCCGACTTCAACTTTCAAAGTAGTGGACCCTATGTATTAACAACATGATTGTCAGTAAAGTTAATGTACACAGACTAATACTTCTGACAATGTAGTGTAACAGTATCAGAACACAATGTTTTGTTTTGCATTGTTTTTGTTTGTTTGTTTCTGTACAGGATTCTGGTAAAGAAGATTCAACTTTAGTGAGCTGTTCCTCCAATAATGGGTCACCTATGCAACAGACATCCACTCCAATGAAGTCCAGTCTTCCCAAGTTTGAAACTCCTGAAAAGGTTGTGAAATTAACCTTTCCAGAATATGTACTCCACACTGACACTGAGCTTGAGCACGTAAGACAACAGTACTTTGAATTGTCGAAGAAAGGGGAAGAGCGCAACTGTGAAATGTCAAAGGAACTCAGATGTCGTCTCATCCGAAACACGATGACCAGTATGATTGCAATCTTGAGGGCAAAAGGAGATGCAGAATCACACAGATACCCATCAAAACCTGAAATCACAGCAGTGGCTAAAAGGATAGTGCTGTATTACCCCATGCTACAGGACCAAGGTCTGAAGAATTCATGGGTAAGTGAAATGCATCCAGTTAATGACCAAAGTTTTTTTTTATTTTGCACATTTTTATTGAGGATCTAAAAAATGAAATGTATGTGTTCTTAAGGTCACTGTGTTTGCGCAACTAAACAAAAGATTGCAGAATGTGAGGTCCCCTCTAAAGAAATCTCAGAGTGGGAGACAATCAAAGAGGTAAAGCTGCAACAATTAATTTCCTCAATAATAAATATGTCATTAGCTTTAGTAGACTTTAACATATGTTGGCCAGCATTTGTTGGAAGTGATTAATTGGCTCATCTTTGCAGCTCTTCAAAGAGACGCCGTCTTGATGAGCCCTATGATACAGATGAAGCCATGTCGAGCGACTCAACAATCATTCTGGACCAGTCTACAGATGAGACTACCAGCACCGACTCAGGCACTACTGACAAGGAGTTTGTTGAATTTAGTTTTGTATTTATTTTGTCTTGTTTTTATTTTGTTTTGTTTATCTTCCACAATCTGAATATTAACATTATGATTCATCATGCCAACAGAAATATGTCTTTATGTGTTTCAGGAAAAACAAGACCCCAAAGCCCCCAGAAGCTCTCCCTCTCCTGTCCAGTTCTAAGAGTGAGTTTGTCCTACTTTATTTTGGGGGTGTGGTACTTGTGTTCCTCAATGCAACGATGATAGCACGACCAGATTCTCATTACTGTATTTTAGTGTTGTAATAGTAATTACAATTTTGGGTTGTTCATATTTGAATAATTTGACTTTAATATAATTTATCGAATATTTAACTACACAAAATGGATTGTATTAATTAAAAAAAAGGTTGTCATATTACGTTAATTGACAAAAATCTGTTGTTAAATTGAGCCACATTATGTGTTACAGCTAACAGGCCAACAGATGTTGAAAGCTCATACAACTACAGTCCAGCAATCTCGGCCAAGCACTACAGGACCCTACAATCGTTGTATAAAAAAAAGAATCCAAACCACCAGGATGTGTCTCATCTCCTGGATTTGGAATTTCAAGCCAGAAGAGCATTCATTGATTCACATAGTTTTCGTGAGGAGGACAGACACAACAAAATCATAGAAGCATATCCTTGTTTCAAGGACATTGGACATGTAAGAATACTTTGCATTCTTAAATGCTTGATATAACTTGCAATGTTTAGACAATTTCCTTCTCCTAGATAAATATTCTAATATCTGAATTGGTGTATTGAACATTGAATAGGTCATGGATGAGCTTCAACGCATTCTGAACAAAGATAACCCATGCTACATAGCTGAACTAAAGGGACGATGGAAAGACTTCTGCCAGAAGGTGCAGTTTTTTGGTGTATGGAAAAAAATGCTGAAACTACCAATGGGAGTGGACAAAGGTAAGCAATTACATTTTGGTATTATCTGTGATCAGGGTTTAATTGTGTCCATGAGTTTTGGACTTTTAGCTATTTTTTTATTTATGTTATTTTTGCTTTATGATGACTAAGGGTGTAAACAGGTCTTACAAGGTTAAAATGAGTATAGAAAGCAGTCATTTCTTAAATGTTTTCGTATAAATTGATCAGATTTGAACGTGTGTGCATTGTAAAGCTGTTTTTTTTACCCAATTGTACCCAATCTTTTCCTGTACAGCTGAACAGGCTCTAGAGATCCTTCATGTCCTGCCATCGCTGTTTCCGTCGGCGTCTGCTCCTCCAAAACGAGTACGCGAGGCAAGTGAGGCTCTGGTGCATGTCCTTGAGGTGAGCTGTGTGAAATGTTCCTGGATAATTTTGAGTTAAGTATTAGAAAATCTATAAGGAGCCTCTGATTTCCTAAATTTTTCCTTTTTATCTCTTCAGAGACACCCAAAACAGTTGTTTTTATAAATATAGTTTTCACTAGGTAAATGTTAGTGCTTATTTGTGTCTGTTTAAATGTGTTATGCAGCATGTGTTATCCCCTCAATAAAAACCAACCAAGGCTAGCGTAACACTCATTTTTCTTTTGGGAAAGTAGACTGCAGTAAATGTATTTTGCATAGTTACAGGGATCGATGAGTAACATTAGACTTTATTTGATAAACATATATTTTAACTGTAAAATACATACTGTAAAAATGCAGTACGCTGTTTAGTTTTTATATTTAAAAAAATATATATTTTAATACGGATGGAGCCATTTTATTTACACACAAAGCATTCTGGGTAAATGATGACATGGATAGGTCCTCGGTGTGAGCGAGCTTTATTCACCCTGAATCTTTGACAATATGTAACGATCGACTCTTTTAAATTAAACCAGAGAGCGTTGACAGTGAGGATAAGGTAGAAATGACCCAGCCTTTTACTGAAAATACAGATGGAGGCCAACAGAGCTGCTTCATGGAAGAAGAACCTCAGCCTGTTAGCATTCGTGCTAGCGCAGACACTATATTGCCTTAAATGGGTTAGCTCAGCGCTAGCGCGACACAAGCTAAACTGAGGTCCTCCATCCATATTTTCAGGCTGAGTCATTTTTGCTTTCCCCTGTCTGTCATGTGGATGGAGGACCTCAGTGACGAGAGGAGAATGTGTAGCGCTGAGCTAATACATAAGCTAACAAGCTGAGGTTCTTCTTCCATGAAGCAGCTCTGTTGTCCTCCATCTGTATTTTCAGTTACAGGCTGAGTCATTTCTACCTTCTCCTCACTGTCAACGCTCTCTGGTTTCATTTAAAAGAGTCGATCATCTGATATTGTCAAAGATTAACCTTCAGAGTGGATATAGCTCGCTCACACCAAGGACCTATCCACGTCATCATTTACCCAGGATGCTTTGTGTGTAAATAAAATGGCCCCATCTGTGTAATATATTTTTAAACTTTTAGTTTAAAACTTATAAAAACTGAACATTCTACAGTATTTTTAGTCTTGCTTTCACAGTTAAAATATATGTTTATCAAATAAACTCTGTTATAATCATGGATCCCTTAAAAACAGCTACTTGAGTTGTACCTTCAACCTCTTTCAAAATTTTACTGGGTTTGTATCAACTCTCTGCTTCAGGTTCTTAAATAACCAAGTGATCCTGTATGTCTTACTGACAGAAGGTCTGTTTCTTTTTCTTTTTTTTTTTTAAGGAAAATGAAGACCCTGATGCCTATTTGAAGAAGCGCCCTCTCTCCTGTCCAATTCTGATTGTGTGTTCATCCAACTGCCTGCTCGCGGTAGGAGACGTGCCCATCACAACATTTCCGAAAGACAAGGTTGATGAGGGGGCTTTATACCTGATGGCATACTATTATGCCCTGCATCTTACTTACCCAAAGTGTGTGGCCACTCTGCTGTCAGTCATACAGACAGAGGTCCTTTTGGACCAAATCCATGAGAGAGATCTAACATCATCCTACAAAAAGAGCATGGCCGAATGGAAAACTTTTATTGACCAGTAGTGGCCATGCAGTAAGCTAGTTATTTGACTGGCGTAACAGTTCATGTTCAGAATTTTGGTTGTTTACCCATTAAATGTTGCTGAAATAGCATTATGAGTGCATGAAAAATATTGGACAACATGACTCTACTTCATTTTATGTTGCAACAATGCAATTCTTTGAACATTTTGAAAGTTTAAATTTGAACATTTTATGTTTATACATTTTAAGTTGTAACTGTGAATGGCTCCCTCATTTTTCTCCACTACAGTACTAAGCTCCTCATTTTTCGTAGTAGTTTTTTTTTTTTTTTACTTATTTATTTATTTATTTTGTTGAGGATGTTTTATGTTTACAAATATATATTCAAAAGTTAACTACAATTGTTATTGGGAGTAGCAGTGTCAGTTGTTGCATTGAAACATTTTATGTTTAAACATTGAAGTTGTAGTGGCTCCCTCATTTTTCATGGTGCCCAACAGTATACTCTTCATTTTTCATAGCAAAAATTGTTTTTATTTTGTTGAGGGTGTTTTATATTATTTTTTTTTAAATATAATCAAGTGTTAACTAATTGGGATGTTGCATTGCTGCTGAAACCAAAAATAAATGTGTTGAAGTTAAAGGATTTCATTTTTTGACATTATAGAAAATGTTTGAATGTTTTGACAAGACATGTATGTTATTATGTTTGTTGGTTAAATTTGATGACGGGTTGGAGAAAATAATGTTGCGTTGTCAGGATTTCTTATATAAGTTTTCTTAAAATACAATTTCTAATCTTATTTTAGGTAGGCTTTGAAACATCTGTAGAAAAGTTTTAGGGATGTAAATTAATTTGAAGCATCACACGCTTACTTTAAGACAAAGCCCACAATTGTAGTAAGATATTGCTAAGAATGAGATTTTTGCAGCTAGGTTTAAGATTGTTTATCTTGTAAAATGATAAAATGTCTTATTTTTAGAAATCGTTTTTAGAAAATTTTCACTTGTTGGCAGATCTTTTTGCTTATTTCAATCAAAAACAAAATTCAAATTTTAAGTTGTTTTAAACTTGTTTTCGGAATAGTCTTTTCTCCATTGTACTACTTTTGAGCATCAGAATCTTATTATAAGACACAAATAGCTCAATTGTAGTTAAATATTGCTCAAAATTATATTTTTATAGCTAGTTTCAAGATTCCGCTTATCTTGTTTGACTTGAACAAAATGTCTTATTTTTAGAAATCTTGTCGAGAGAATTTTCACTTGTTCCATTGGCAGATTTTTTTGCTTATTTCAGACATAAAAATCTTATTTTAATTTTTTTTTACTTATTTTTGGAGTGGCCTTTTTTCCAGTGTAGCCGCAGCAACAAATAAGATTTCTGACGTGGGGCGAGCTAGTCTGGAACTCAAAGACGACAAAGGTCAGAGTCCAGGTCACCCACAATCACCTCAGAAGGATTTTGGTGCACCTCCTGCTCTTAATCCCATTCTGCTACCTCCACATGTGTGTAGAGACACACCTCCACCCTTACCTGAAGTAGTAGGGACAGACCTGAACAGTTTTCCACTACCAAACAGGCAAGAGAGAGCATTGAAACTTCCTCTTTCAATAGATGATCTTCAAAAACTCTCAAAATATGTACAACGCTTTGTACCTGGACCAATGGGCTCAACTGGAACAAAAGCGTATCTCAAAGACCTTGATTTCAGACTGAGTGGTTATCCTAATGCTACGGTTGAGGATAAAATCAGTCTGATAAGGCTCGCTTCGGACAGAGAGGTGTTCACCTTCATCGAGCGTCAACCTGATGCCATGAGAAGGGATTACAACCTTCTGTGTGAAGCTTTGATCAGGGAGTACGACCCCTGCACGGGACCTGCTGGTTTCCCAGCTGCTGACAAGGTCACGCAAGGCAAGCATGAACATCCAAAGGTTTATTACAAAAGAATCTTCCAAGCTTATTTTGGTTACAGAAATGAAACCGGAATGGAGGAAGAAGAAGGTTTTAAATTTGTTTTCAGCAAAAATATCCACACTGACATTAAATTGTCAGTACAAATGATGGCAAATTTCAAAGAAAAATCCATCAATGAGATTAAACAGTGTGCTGTGAATGTGTTTGAGGCATGTTCTCATGCTAAGACGCCCATAGAAGAGTTTCCTGGTGTAAAGGTTAAACCCCACTCGCTAGAATTGGAAGGACGGCGTGCATCGCCTCCCCCTCCTAAGAAAGGCGAGAAAAAGCAGTCTTTTCAAACTAACAAACCACGTCATGAAGGTGCACGCTGGGACAAAAAAGCTCCTCTTTCAGAGGATGAACGTGATTATC